TTATTTAGTCTGTGTGTTTTATTTAAAAAGTTCTTGGTATTCATATTAATTTTTATGTAATGAAGAATGTATCTATTGGTAATAACTTGTGTGGTTGAAAAAAGTATCTTTAGTAAAAGTAGTAGCTTTGCAACAAATAAAATGAAATTTATTTTGTAAGTAAGACTACTTACTTAAAGTTAGGTACTTAAAGTGCTGTCTTCTGGCTAGAAGACAGCACTTTATCTAATACCTTTAAACGAATAATTCTTGTATTTATAGGTCAATGATCTCGGAAACGGCTTCAACGGTTTTATTTAAATTTAGTTTTTTTCATTTCTGAGGCGATTAATCGATCTAGCTAAGTTCATATACATTTATAACTGATCTACACCACGATCAATAAATTGTACATACATACACAACCTTAAGCCTGTCTCCCGTGGGGATAGGCAGAGACTATGGAACGCCAATTGTATGATTATACATATATTAACAATATAAAAATCACACAAGTAATTGTGCAAAAATCAAATCAAATTCTAGTTATTACGCCGCCTTGTTGTTGAATAATGAAATAACAATCTCAATGTAATTAATCATCTTAAAACATCGAGATTTTTAGTCCACAGATAGCCAGTTAGGGTAGATTTTTTGCCAGTAATGTTATTACGGACAAATTTGCAAGGTTTTACTAAAATGAATATTTTAAAATTAAAGAAAACGTAACCTTAACCAGAATAATTGTAGGATCAGATGCGTAACTATATGTATGATTTGTTTGACTACATAGCTCTTGCAGTAAATATGCGAAGGGTTGCTATGCAATTGTCATAGTCTTTTACCGGATACGTTTCGAAGAGTGTGCGGGGGAATTGCACAATTTGATTCCTCCTAGTCCTTTCCATCATCGTACTACAAGATAATCGGCGAAGCGTCACGGATTCATGGTACATGTTCCGCCTACACGCACGAAGCGCTTCGCATCAAGCTTCCTTGTGAGTATGTACTGCTAAGGAGTGGAATTATTTGCCAGAATCTGTATTTCCTGAAGGGTTATAACCTGGGTGTCTTCAAGGCCCGAGCGAAGAGGTTGCTTATGGGTCGACGTGCTCTATCGTAGGCCACATCATCGCTTACCACCAGGCGAGATAGCGGTCAAACGTCAGTCCCACCTAATAATAAAAAAAGTATCGAGTATTTATTTTGCACACAGAATTATTCTTAGTGTTTATTCACAAACTGCTATTCAGGGTTATGTGCATACAAGATTGTAAAAATACCAATGATACAATAGAAAATCTTGATATGTGGTAATAACGTTTAAGACATGTAAATAAGCCAAAGTTGTTTGTCCATTCATAGAAGAAAGAAACAATTATGCGAATGAAGTCGTGAACAAAAACTTAGTTTGGGGACAATGCCTGCTTTTTGTGTATACACAAAAGATTTTTGACCCTTTAAACTCTTTTGCGATGAAAATGTGCGCGTGTGGTGAACATCGCTAATCCATCGGGAATTCGTCTGCGGTTTCCAACGATCAGGCTTTTGTGGTCGTGTTTTGTATAAAATTAAACTGATTTTTTAATTTGATTGTGATATCGGGTGTAATGGCGGAAACTGTAATTATATTGAGCGAAAATAACATTTCTAATATCGTCTAGTCATTATTTTTTGAATAAAAATAGTACAGCTTAGCTGGTCTATTAAACGCTTACCCAAGATACATGCTTTGTTTTATTTTTGTCCTTTCCATGTCCTTTTTTCTCAACAGTTGACATTGTACGTAGCAAAGAGCACTTTATTTATTAAAGACATCATTGAACAATCAACTAATAATTAGTAGACATAATGCTTCAAGGCACTTTAGATGACCGACAGAATCGAACTTAACGTCCATTGAGCTGAGTGAATATGAATAAAACATCTAATTGCTTCTACCCCAAAATCAATACCTGAACACAAAACCTTAATTTCTTCACCTTTCAGGTATTAAAGTTACTAATACGAGAACAAAAGGGGAGGTATTGTGATTCCAAACATGTTTGCTTGCTACGGCCTACGCGCTACGAAGTGCTACGCCATTGGCTACGAGATCTCGTAGGCTGGCACGCGCCTACGCACCGCTACCCCGCCCACTGTAGCAAGTAATAAGTTAATGTTCAAAGTTTATCTCGAGTGACATACAAAAATAGAATTTATTTAAGTCTATCTAATATACTAGGATTTAGCTAGATTCAATTTTTCTTTTTGTTTCCTGTAAGTTCGAACATATTTTTTTTACTTCCAACTTCTGTCAATAGATACTGACGTATTTTATATTTTTACAAACTTGTTAGTTGAGAGGTCTTTGGCCCTGCAGTGAGATAATTATGGCTCATAATAAATTAACATGACATAATTTTAAACTCTCAATATTCAGTCCAATTTAACAATTGAAGCCAGTGATCAAAAAACCAAGCATGGATATCATAGAAAAATCACATAAAACTTATTCTGATTTAAACAATCAGATACCTAGATGAATAGGAATAATTGGTTAATATATGGTCCTATTTTCATTAAAACTAAAACAAATAAATTGTTTGCTCTTGTTATAGAAAATTGATTAAGTACATACATACTTTCAGTGCGTATAATGTACACACGATACCTAATAATACCGGATCTGTAAAGATCGGACAGTTTTTCTAACATATTATAAAAGAGTTAAACACAACAATCGACGAGATACTTTCTCCGAAAATAAAAGAGAAAAATGATAAAATGTACAATGGACCTATATATTCATAATATTGCATATATGAAATGTTAGGAGGCCCATGTAAAGATTTAGTCTAAATCCGAAAAATACGCACATCAAACACTAAACGTAAATTTGTAGGCACTATTCGCATCGCACGTGCCACCCGACGAGATGTATCTTTTCGAGAATAACATGGCGTGTTGTCTTGATAATATGCTATGCTATGAGTTTGTATGCGCTTTTGGAGTTTGCTTTTTGCAATGGTTTTGCACCAGTTATTTTTTGTATTAAACATTTTATCTCCATGTTAAACTATTGTATTACCAAGATAAAACCATTTTATTTCAGGATGAAAACGAAATTGATTTCACTGTGTAACACTAACTAATTCTTCATACGCAAATTTCTTCTACATAATACATACGTAACTCCGAAGTTATTCTAAATTGAACAAGATAACATATTTATTAACTAATCTTACCAAGATTTCATAAATACAATATTACGTAATGTACCGTCTTTTAATCCCCAATGGGGGTAAAGGAAAGTCCACGAATACATAAACGATGTAACACACACTTTTCACAAATTATGTTGTTACAGTCAACCAGTTATATTAAATAAAATCGCGGGTTACTCACGTGAATATACTGACAAAAGCTTTACTAGTTTCAAACCACAGAGGGGTTCTTCCTCATGAGCAGCGTGCGCAGTCGCGGCGATGTCGCGCAGCTCACTCACCCGTGATTTTACTTAATTTAGTATGTCTCACGATAGTTATTATAAAAATGTCACATATGTCATATGTATAATTCCCCTATTACATATAACGTACAACTTAGTTTTTTATTCAAATTAAAAATGAGTAACGTAAATAATACAATTAAGAATAAATGTATACAACTTAAAATAAACTAAAACAGTGAATAATTTAGTGACGTGTAACGTACTGGCATGTGACATGATACATGTACAAGGTGAATATATTACATGTTACAGGGAAACTTCTCTACCATAAACAGGGCATAGATCAAAATTCTATGTCAATGAGTCAAGCCCACCACAACCTCCCAAAACCGCTGCAACTCTAGTAAGCCAAGATATACACTACATACAATTATGACAACATCGGAACACTGAATTCCGGCGCGTCCCTTTATGTATCTTAGTAATTTTTTTTAGAATATTGAAAGTAGCCCAATAAGGCACGACCTCATAATTAAATCGCCTGCTCGGCAGTCGGTCCTGATTCCAAACTCCATATTGTAGCTGTGAATTCCAAAAATAAAAAAAACCTTTTGTTTACTGATTTTCCTTTTGAGGAAAAATCGATACAAACAACATGCATCACTTGGGACCAATTTTTTTTAAAGAAGTTTTCGCCTCATGAAGTTCAGTAATGCCTTCCTGAATAATCAATTGTACTTTATTGATTACTTATTTAGTATTTTTATCGGCATTTCGCAATAAAATAAATATTTATGAAGTGACGTACTATCGTTATACGTAAAATAATTGCCGATATTTAAAATGAAATACATTGCCAGTGCCAATACATTCACTAATGTCCATCACATTAATTATTTATTTATGATTTATGTACACACATTCAACACAGAGGATAATAGATATATAAAAACAGAGTACATAGCCCCACATATTTCAACTGGAATTTCTTCCTGTGGACCTGTGACATAGTGTGTTACACAAATAAGATAAAATATTGATTTTATTTCATTATTGATTTCTTTATTAATATTAACTTTTTTAACACCAGAAAACTAATACGAAACTAAATCGTACTTTTATAACAACAAATTCCTTTCGAATGCATTATAAATGAATGCATAATACACATAATTAAACAACAGTTCACCGCACCACTCATTAATTTAATTTATTTTTGTAACTCTATTTTATTTGCTGTAACACCCCCCCTATTTCCCAATTAAAAACAAACTTCCGAAGATTTCGCAGCTTAAAAGTAAAAACGTTATTAAACGAAAATGTTAATGAATTGAGTATTTACATGAATTCACTATTTAAAAAGCCTAAAATAATTATTACACAGTTGGTATTAACTGAATGCTTTTACTATAAAGGTGCAATTTTCCTAACCCTTAACTACATTTTTTCTAATTCCAATCAAACAATAATCTAAGAAATACGACATGTTATGACGTCACAAGCAAGTCGTTATAAAATACATAATATTTTTTAATCTGGCGTCGCTCGTTTACGAGTACTGGCCGGTGGCGCTATATAAGGGAGGGCGATGTGGTACCGTCGAGTAGATACGTTTTTCTCGCTAGCTGAGCGGACGGGACTTACGGACAAATGTAAGTACGCATATTTTTTATATATATTTTTTTGGTGGTCGTGGTACAGAGGGTTGGAATTTATTTGTTGGAATTGTAGGTGGAAATTTTAAAATTAGATTTTTTTAAGTATTTTTTTCTATAATTTTTTTTATATTTTTTCAAGAGAGGATAAAATCATTTATTGTACTTTTAGATGAAACGTTGAATCTTTTATTTCTTTTTTTACCTTCGTGAAAATATTCAAACTTTGTGAACATTTCGTAACGTAATGCATTTAAAACTATAAAACTGAACAACTACTTACAAACAATATAAAAGAAAACTAAAAATATTAATTAACAATTTCTTAAATGTAAATGAAATAAATGAAAAGTTTATCAATTACAAACCCAATCAAAACGCGGCATAACTAAAAAAAACACATATAAATGAGTGAACTGCAGACCAGAATATGAAAAGGAAACTTAAGAACAAACTTAATAACTATTTCCTCAACATATTTCTGCAAAAGTTTTGCAAAGAAAAATGTTCTTATCATCCATCTTAACAAATAGAGCAACACTTTTAAAAAGACGGCACTTTTTTAATCTACCTCAGAGAGGCTTCGAAGCACTTTCAGAAGGTCTAAATAAAAAAAAATCTTCAGTCTTTCTTTAAGACTTTGACTGACAATAAAAAACTGTTGAAGGTAAATCCTCCGCTAACGCCGGTCACCGGTGACCCCCATGGCGTTTAACGTGTTAATTTCACATAAAATGAATGATTACGACCGGTTTTTGAGGCATGAAATTAAACTATGCGTAGTGTGTTTCAGAATAAATATTTTTGAAGTTTTAAGTCTGGTCGAAAATACGGCATATGACTTACTAGTTATAATATACCATTCATAAATGAACTTGTGAAAGTTCTGTGTTATATTCTCTACCTACCCCTCTAGGATCATTGGCAATAGTCTATAAGTGACCACTGCTGACCAAAAGCCATCCTTCTCACACGGAGAAGGTTTGAGCATTAATCACCACGCTTGCTCAATGCAGGTAGGCGATTTCAAACTTATAATAAGAAATTATTAGCCCAGGTTTCCTCACATGTGTTTTCCGTCATCGTTTGTCAGTGGTGTCTAAATAATCTTAAAAAGTACATATAACTCTGAAAAAGTCACTTTGGTAGATGCATGAAAAGCGGGCGTCTTAAAATTCCGGATTTACCCCACCCGTCTAGGATACTCAGCACATGTGTTCTCTAGATACAGATACCTTTATTCAGCATTGACACAGTAATAGGCTGAACTTCATTTGTTTTTTTTTTCTAATGATTGCCAGCTCGTATTTATTGACTACTAGTTTCTGCCCACGACTTTGTATGCGCAGTCCCGTTTTCTCCCGTTCCCGTAAGATATTCAGCATTTTTTCTGTCGTAAGAACCTTCTCCTGACGATAACAAATATAACAAAATAAAGATCAGCCAAATCGGTCTAGCCGTTCTATGGTTATGGCGTGACAACGGGAAACGAGTTTCATTTTTACATATATAGATTGAATAGTCTATAAATAATCATGTTTGATGTACCTACTTAACGAAAATCAATCTAGAATATAATTTGTATATGCTAAATATTTACTAAACCTAAAACTATTGGATAACTATTATACTAATAATATATGTTGTATCTAAATATAAAATAAACACTATAGTTTTGGAAACCTTATGGCGTAGTACTTTGAACATTTCAAATTGCAAACAGTAAAACATTTAATGCCTAATAATAAAGTGTAGTGTTACACTAATATTATAACATAACATAACATCACGCCTTTTATCCCCGAAGGGGTAGGCAGAGGTACACATTACGGCACTTAATGCCACTGTACAATGTAACACACGCTTTTCACTATATATGTTATGAGTTCCATGTAATAGAGGGTGAGCCTATTGACATATACCGGGCACATTTCCAGACTCAGTGTTAGTACTGAAAACGCAATAATACTTTGCCTGGTCTGGGAATCGAACCTGAGACCCCTGGCCCGGCAGTTGCACTTACGACCACTCGGCCAACGAGGTTGTCATTTTAAGTATTTATTCAAGTTTTATACAAGTGTATAAGGAACACTTATGCTAACAGCATTAGCGTATTAGGTGTGCAATGACTTTAGGCGTCAAGGCGGTTACGTTCTCGACGCCTTCTATCAAAAATATTTTCCTCACTGCTATCGTGAGGTAAGGTGTCCAAAAGACTGGCAGCATTGCCATATTGAATGGCATTTTTTTTAAAAAAAAAACGTTGCCCCACACTAGGATTTTCTCCTGTGTCGTGGGTGCGTTTACAAACATACAAGTTCACATACACAAAGACACCCAGACCCGAAACAACAATTTGTGGATCACACAAAGTGTTGTCCCGTGCGGGAATCGAACCCGCGACACGTTGCACGGCAGCCGGTTGCCCAGCCACCGCACCAACCGCACCAACCGGTAATTAAAACCAATTTCAAAAGTAATGTTTTTAAATCAATGTAACGTTTTCCTAAAAAACAATTATAAAGAAATAATAGAGCTTATTAATAACAAAGAATTTACCCGTTATTACGTGGACCTTATAATATAACATATTAAAAAATGGGTATTATAGTCAAAAAAATCTTCCAATGACTTCTCTCACCTTAGGCTTGCCTACTTACCTACTCTTCATCATCAGATCTCTCATATCATCAGAGTATCAAACTCTTACTGACTAAAAATAACCCTGTTCATAGGAACGGGGTGATTTTACAAAATATCGGTCATACGTGGGCAGTCAACAAAGTACCTTAATATAAAATAAGCACATACCTACGTTAAATAAACAAAATAAGATGTTTAACATTCCATCGATCACGAAATTAATTAATACAAGCCTCCTTTGTTTAATTTTTTAACAATTTATATATATTTTTTTTAAATAAAGATGTGGATCATAGATATGCAGAATAAATCAAACCTGTTGATTCTAGAAAGAGTAAACAGGTTTACAATACAAAAAGTAATTTTATTACAGACTAGATTGTGTATATTATTGACTGCACGATTTTGGTGCGGTGATGGGGCAATTGGGTACCGAGTAACGTGTAGCAGGTCCAATTCTCAAGTCAACAAACTGTTGTTTTGCGTCTATGTGTCATGTGCACATAGCACACAGACCTGTAATGTAAACTTGTATGTATAAACGCACCCACGACATAGGAGACAAATCTGTGTGTGGGGAAACTTGTAAAAAAAATTGAAGTTTAGTACATAATTAATTTTTAACTAATACCTATGTCATCCAAATTCAACTTACTTATGTTATTATGAGCAGTATACAAGATAGTGCTTCATACAATAAATTTTAGAATAAATACCTGCATTTTGTTCGTTACAATCTTAGTAAAGATTAAACTAGAGGTAGAACATATTCTTACATTCCCTTTTTCATAATATACTTCACCAATTAAAAAGATAGTACAATTAATGAAATATTAATAACTTATGACAATTAACAAATTTAAGTGTGGGTGAACCACGGTTCGGCACGGATGGGCTGGCTCGACAGGAGTGATACCACGACCTCGCTGAAAACCGACGTGAAACAACGCTTGTGTTGTGTTTCGTCGTGTAAGTGAGATTACCGTAGGTCAAATTACACCCTTCCCAATCCCTTATTCCCCAAAAGGCCGGTAACACACTTGTAACGCCTCTGGTATTCTGGATGTCCATGGGCGACGCCGATTACTTACCATCAGGTGAACTCTCTGCTCATTAACCATTTGAGTACCGTCATTATAGCCACCGGTGTCCTCGCGGTGTTTGACAGTTTAAATGGATTATCCCACAAAGAAATATCCACAATTTTAATACAGGTACACAATGCATTGTCTTCAGTTCAATTATATTCTGAAAGTTTACAGGTAATGATAGATGTTTACTATGAACAGTAATTAATGATTCATGTTCCTTTATTACAACTTAATTGATTGTTCATTAATATTCGATTGTGTGTTCTTTTTAATAAAACATCGTGAACACATTATTGTTGATGAGTTTGGACTCTGTGTATGATATTTATATGAAGTTGTTGAAACGTATTTGCAAAATACGAATACGTATACTGATCAAACTTGAAGACCAGGTTGCTTCCTCTTGAAAACAATCTCAATGACAATGCAATTTCAATCTAATAAAATGTCAATAATTATTAAATGTCAAAACCATTCAACTCCTATCGTAGTTGTTAAAATAGTATTCAAAGTACGCAATATATAGCCAAACTCAGTATCATTTAGTCCATTACATATCCACGCAATGGGTGCTAGTGTTGCAACTCAAGAGTAAGAAAATACCACTATATCAATCTCGATCGATCAGAATTGTATTCAAGAGTAAGGCCCCAGGTCATTTTTAAATGTAAAAGAAGATTTGTTTCTTTTCATAACTACGCTACTATCGATCGAAAATTGGGTAGACCTGTACACACTGACGCCCAATTTTAACAAGCTATGTTGTTACACACAAGGAATGATTCTACCCCAGCATACTGAAAAAAATAACAAAAAAAATCCAGTAGATATTACTTTGATTGATCACGAGAATCTTACCCGATAATCTTTGATCGACAGTTGCATTTGTGACCAAATTTTTAATGAGTCAATTCAATCACAAATCATTTAAATAAAAACATAAATAATAGCTTCTGTGTCGTTGGCCAAGTGAGCAAGTGCTACTGCTGTCTCGGGTTCGATTCCCGTGCCGGGCAAAAGTAAAAGTAAAAAAAACAACAATGTCAGTAGTAGTTCGGAGTCAAGAATTGTGCCTGGTATGTGTCAATAGGCTCACACCCTATTACATGGGACCCATAACATAAAACAGTAAAAAAAGTCACAATGTACAGTGACTTTTGTGTGCCGTAATGTGCACATCTGCCTACCTACTGCCTCCGGGGATAAAAGGCATGATTTATTTATTTATTAATTTATGTACACACATTCAACACATGATGTTAT